CTCCTTAGGAATGACTGAAACCCGAGTATTTTTGCTGGTGTCTAGATCTTGCCCACTGGGCGGATCTCAGCAGGGGTCGGAGTTAAAATGTATCCATATAATTTCTGTACACAACATATTATTTCCTTAAGTTCCCTCTAAGTGTTTGAAAACTTCCAATATTACCACCAGAGGGAGACCACTTGATTCTCCTGCAAAGTGCCATCTGAAAGATGAATCTTTATTGGGTTGGTGTGATAATATTTATCACTTTTTTCATAACTTGTTATTTATGGAGTTTAATATATTTATTGTGCCTGCACTAATAGAAAACTTCAGGGAGGTTACATCTGGTTTCTTACAAAGTAACCATGGGAATTCTGGAGAGGAATTTACTAAGGTAATAACAAATATTACTTAAGAAAAATAGAAAATGCCAAAACAATATGAAGTAATAGGAATCGTGCCACAAATTTTAAATGGAACTCAAATGAATTCAAGATGCCACCAGCCCCATTTGAAAAGGTTACTTTTGCCGGGCAGTGGTGGCATATGGTGCCAGCATAGTTTCAGGACAGGCTCCAAAGATACAGAGAAACCCTGTCTTGAAGCCCCCTACTCCCCCCAAAAAGAAAAGGTCATTTTTTTCTTCAAGTAACCGCCAATAGGAAACCGGAGGTGAGACAAATAGCAGCCACCCCTCCCCTGCAGAAAAAGAGAAGGTGGTCCCCATACCCTTCCCCATCAACATGGGCCCCTCTCATTACTCTGCAGCAGTATTCAAATGGCAGAGCCCCATCTTCTCTGGGCTGGGTTAATCAACAGCCTGCTGGCCCCATCCCCTCTTCCCTGAGTATCTTGGAGAGGAGAATACAGCCAGAACAGGAGGATGAAGGTTTGTTGCTGGCAGCAGCAGCAATGGTGCGTGTCTAAGAATGAGCACAGAACAAAAACCAATACAGATGTCCAGAGGTAGCTTGTGAACAGAGGGAAAGATGGTACCAGGATGGGGGGCAGGGAGGAGCAAAAGAAGAGGGGTAAGGTTAGTTCTTTAATGCCCCACTGGAGGAAGGGGAATAGCATAAAGTAGAAACAGAAGTGGTGAGTTAGCGCCCCATCTGCTACAGCTGGAAGCCAGAGACAGCTACCTCACCCTGGAGATAGGTGGTAACTCCCATCTGTCACTGTAGGTAGGTCCCAGGTGAGGACAAGGTGGGTGGCACCAATATCTGCCCTACTTATAGTAGTCCGAGGGACTTACCCAGCCTAGTGAAGGATCCAGGTAAGGTGAGGCAAAAGTGACTGAGAATCCTATCTGGTGACAGTTTGGTGTGGTGGTGGGGGCAGGCATGCTGGGATCTAAGCAATCCCTGCACTATCAATCAATAGGGCTTGCCAGAATAAGATGGGGCTGGGGCCCCTTAGTCCAGGGAATGCTCTCAGGACCCTCATTGCGGTGCCTCTCAACCATGGGTCCCATATCAGATATCCTGCATATCACATTGGAATTATGAATCACAACAGTAGCAAAGTAGCAACAAAATGATTTTATGGTTGGAGGTCACCACAACATGAGGCTGTATTAAAGAGCGGCAGCCTTAAGAAGGTTGAGACTCAAGCCACTGTATTAGGGGAACCTCCTCTCTGGAGAGCGAGGTCATGCACAGACACAGACAACAAAAGAAGGATGTATCCCTTGGATGAACAGTATTAATAAACCTGAAACTTAGAGTCGGCTGACAAGGTAGCTTCAGCCCAACAAAGCCCATTGAATCAATTGGCAAGCAAATCTTTAGTGCCACAGTCAGTATCCACCCTAAGAAGACAGCTATCATTAGTCTTTACTCTGGAGATCAGCCAATCCATTTCAACCACATCTCAAGAGTACTGGTGGACATTCATCCATCCACATTGACTGGCTGGTGCCACATGGAACAGTTTTGGATAGCATCTCTGACACAAATATCCTGATAGGTTAGTTCTGCATGGAGCATGGATTGTGGCAAGGGAGACTAAAGAATACAGTGATCTGTCCTTTGTCTCATGAAGCAATACCAGATTATGCTGTTTTTCAAGAGATTGGGAACAGACTTAGAGACTTGGGACGACTGGCGTAAATAGAATACAAATAACCCAGGACAGAATTAGGTGCTTCAGTTGCTCACTTTAATGTTCTAGCAACTCAGTGAGGCTTGACTTTTTCCCATCATTTCATGACAAGAGTCAAAAGGAAAAAAAAAAAAACAAAAAAAAAACACAACTCCAGAGCAAACACACATGTATCCAATGCAGTCTACATTTTGCCAAGATTTGGTCAGTAGAAAAGCTCTGATATTCTACAAACTCAGTATGCAATCAAAGACCCAGATAGAAAATATACAATACTCCCAAGGCTGGAGGATTCTAATTTTTGAAAATCTAGAGACAAGTATTTCCTATTTCAGCTTCAGCCTAAGGTCATTAAAAACAAAACAAAACAACAAAAAACCCGTTCTTTCCTCTGTCCTTTCTACTTCAAAAAAAAAAAAAACCCTTTATTTTAAATTTTGCATGTGTCTGCATGTGTGCATGTGGTGCATGCATCTGAGTGCAGGTGCCTACGGAGGCCAGAGAGCTAGGGCCCTGCTGGAACTGAGGTTTCAGGCTGTTTTGTACTATCTAACATGGATATGGGAATCAAATGGGTCTTCTGCAAGAGCAGTGTTGTTGTGACTATATTCCTTATAATGCACACAACCTTTCCATGATGCTCACCCAAAGAACAAGATGACCCGAGGGGAAAACCCTCATCCCTTCCTTTACACCTCCTTTCTACCCCAGTGTACTTGGAAACATAAACATTACGCCCATTTCTGCCTATTTACTGGCTTATCGCTATTGCGATACTTTTCACAGCCAAGTCTTCCAATTAGCGTGCAAACTTAAAACCACTGTCACGAACGAACTAACGGTCAAAGGACAATAACAATGACGTCAGAGAGGAGCGCAAGTCTCTTCCTCCAACAGCGCACGCAGTTACTTAGGATTTTTTCTACTGAGCTGGGCAGTGTGAGGGGACGCCTGGACACGGGGAGATCTGAAGGTCATAGAGTTCAGATTTGTGCTTTCTCGGAAGGGAACTGGAAAGACTTCCCGGAAAACTACCGCTGCAGCAGAGCCAGGCACCCAGCCCCGCAGCAGTTCCCGCTCACGGCCCCACGTAGAAGCGAAAGCTCTCCCCAGGACCCCCTGGCTGTCACCACACGGGAGGGGGTTTGGTCTAGCGTGGGCAGAGCTGCAGACAAGAAGCCAGGTTTTGGTAAAACGATGGATTCCTGCCGCCATGGAGCAGAGGGGCTGAGAGCTCCTGCGAGCCCCAGGGTGCACCCCCGTGGACCGTGGACTTAACCCGGGGAGAACCGCACACCCCAGCCCCGTGCTCACCATGTTTCCGCCTGCGGCTGCCTGCGGCCTCACCTCCGCTCCTGGGGTCAGATCTTTCCCAGCTACCGAGGCTGAGACCCCAAGACTTCCTCCGCTGACACTAGGATGGCCGCGCCAGGAAGAAAGATGGCGGGTAAAGAACTTCCGCCTCTGAACTGACAGCTCCCCCAACCTTGGGCACATCTTACTTCTGCGTCCTAGGTTTCTAGCTGGCTCCAGGCCTGCTTCTGGTTGACCATTAGAACTAAACAGGAGGACTCTAATGCTGACAACACACCACCATTTGCAAAACACCAGGAAAATCAAGCCAGCACCTTGCAGCTGGAAGAGTTCTCAAGCCTCCTAGCCAGTTATGAGCCCTGTCACATCAGTATCGACCTGGGAGTCATGACAAACCCATTGGTATGATAGTGGAATGGGAGCTATGGTTGCAACAAACTTCTGATTGCATTTAAGCTCTCTTTCCAGGAAGGGATTCAATGGATGATGGTGTAAACTTGCTCAGAAGCCCATCAGTGGGGAGGGCATAGGCCCCAGGTGAGAACTGTTCTGTTGTTTTGCTACATGGACATAATGTCAGGCTGTCTTACAAATATCTGTGTTTGTGCTCATAAATGAGTGTTGCTCTCAGAAGATCAGTGCTGGCCAGGGAAGCGTCTGTTTGCAGCAGGTGATACTTACCACGCTGGTAAGTGGTCCAAGTGCTGAGAGGAAGTGATGTCTGTTACCCATCCAAGGCGTGGAGAGTATCACAAAGGACAGGAAGAATACATGCATTGGAGGGTGGGAAGTGATGCTGTGAATGCTGCCCTCTGCACACGATGAAGATGTTGAGCTCACAGACCTGCAGACAATGGGGCCTCTGGACATCAGACAATGAGGCCGCACCCTTCCAGAGGAGCTATTAAGAACTGGAGGCTTAGCCAGGCAGTGGTGGCGCATGCCTTTAATCCCAGTACTCGGGAGGCAGAGGCAGGTGGATCTCTGTGAGTTTGAGGTCAGCCTGGTCTACAAGAGCTAGTTCCAGGACAGGAACCAAAAAAGCTATGGAGAAACCCTGTCTCGAAAAATCAAAAAAAAAAAAAAAAAAAAAAAAAGAACTGATGGCTTGCTGGGGCGGAGTCTCTGTCTTCAGAGCTATAGCCACAGATAACCTGGCCATGGTACAGAAAATTATAACTCTCACCTATGTCAAGTCAACTAATAGTAATTAGGGTCACAAGATCGCAAACCAACACAGACAAAAGGGAAAGTCAGAGGGGACGTGCTGAGACCTGGGTTCAGCAGAAGTGGGATGGGGATGACTGAGTGTAAGGGTGGGTGAAAAAGATCAAAATACATGTATATGAAATTGTGGAAAGTACAAATACGAAAAAAATAAATAGTAATGGCCAGTATCTGAAGGAGGTGTGTTCTAAGGCCTGCAGTGGAGAACAACAGTGGCTAGTAGTTAGCCTGATATATACTAAGGCTTCCCTACTCACACATACGAGAAACTCTAATTAGCTAAGGAGACCCAAGAAGAGGTTTACAACAGTATGTAACAGTGAAACAGAACTATAGCAGTGATAAACAACGAGTCAGTTTCTGTCTCAACGTCACAGTATGCCACACTCATCTTTCTTCTTCAGCTGATGTGACGTCACATAGCTGTTATACAAAGAGATTATAAGAAGTGAATTATGGACTAGCATGTACTTCGTGATATTACTCAGAACTACCCACAATTTAAAGGTTATGAATATTTACCTCTAGAAATTTTCATTTAATGTTTTCAGACACCAGTTGGACTGAAACCGCAGAATCCATACTGCAAGCAAGGATACAGCATAAGTCAGCTGAACTTGCTGGACATATTGGGACAGCTCGACCGGAATATATTGGCCATGCTCAAAGTCCACAAAACTTGGACAGATTTGTTGGAAACCCTTTGGGAGGTGAAGCAAATGCTTATGCTGTCATGCATCGAGCAAATATCCTTATGTCTGCCACATAACTGTGCTGCATGCCGGTGGAGCTGCATCTCTGTGGTCTCCCGAATGACCATTCTTCCATGGACCCTACATGCACGGTATTGCTGAAGACTGCAACAGCCACAATTTGTCTGGGCTTTGTCCTGCTAGGAGTCTCTGTGATAGCTCTCCTCCCACCAGACAATTTTGCCTTGGCCTTAGGAATGTTGGAAAGATTTCTTGGAATATACATGGAGAAGTCCACTCTTCTCTCCAGCTTTTATACTCTGCAGACCTGGAGTATTAGAAACACACAGTCTGAGATTTGTTTGTGACTTCTCGTCAGCAGACAGAGGGTAAGTCCTGGCTCACTCAAGTACAGCAAGGAAGAACCAGATATACTGTGGCCTTAGCCTCAAGGTTAGTTGGTATCCTGGGCTCCCCTCCCTCGATGTTAAACTCTTCTGCGTCGAGGGCATGACATAGTGATACATCTCTATAACCTCAACACTCAGAAGGCTGAGGCACGACTGTTATTTTGTGGCCAGCCTGGGATATATAAGGAGATACTGTCTTAAAATAAAACAAACAAAAAAACCCAACATGAACAAAATAATCCATACATTTGCAAATATGGGAAGGGGAGCTTTGAAAAAATGACCTCCCTTGTAGCCAAATCTACCAGGTAAGGTGACTTGGATACTACTTGCTCTTCTCAAAATATACTGTATTTATATTTTATATACTTAAGCTGAGAATGTTCCAGATCTTGACATGCCACTTCCTTTTTGATTACAGTAACAGTGTTTATGTCCTTTCTCATCTCCTGCATTTCCTTAGAAGCCAGCTGTCAGGTCCAAAAGAAACATGGAACAAGTCTCACCCTGTATCCGGCTCTCCCAGCACCTATATCCCCACCCCCTATCCTAAACCTCTGCAGCCCAGGGGCTGGGCTTCCCTTCCCTTCCCCAGCTTCTGATCCTTTATAAGCCAGCCAAGCTGGCCACACTCTCTTGGTTCCCATGTGCTCTCTTGGGCTCAGCACCTTGCTGGTTCACCCTTGTCTCCTTGCCCTCTTGGCTCTCTTCTCTCTCTCCCTCTCTTGATGTCCCCCCAACCCCTGCCCCACACTCTTTCCTCTCATGGTTTGGTTCAGTCTGGACCCTCCCACATGCCTCAGACTAAACTCTCCATATCTAAGATAAAATTCTTGTACTCAACCATCTTGGAGCAGTCCTATCTTCATTTTCACTAACCAGTAACGGAAGCGGTGCAGCTACCCAAACACTAGCTGAGACCATTTATTCCAAATATATGAGCTCATCTGAAGTTCTGTTCTCTAGACTGTCCTTGGACACAGAAATAATCCAGTCTTTTAGATGCTTGTGATGAGGATGGCAATTTCCCGTTTACAACCAGACGTCCTCACTTCTGATTTAAATCTCATCACTATAGCTTCGCTGTCCATTTCGTTGCCAACGTTCTGTTGAAGGGAACTGTGTTGGCTAGCTTTCATCGCCAACTTTACAAAATCTATAGCTACCTCGGAACTAAGACTAGTGTGAGACTGACCAAATGGGGTTGGTCTGTCGTCATGTCTGTGAGGCGGTGTCTTGGTTGTGTTAGCTGATGTGAGGAAATCCAGCCCAAAAGTGGGTGGTGCTAGTCCCTGAGTTTGGGTCCCAGACAGGGTGAGAGATGAAAGGGAGCTAAGTGGTAGGCATGCACGCATTCATCTCTCTGCTCTTGACTGTGAGTAGTATGCGATGTGACATCCCATTTTAAGTCCCTGCCTTGACTTTCATGCAGTAACAAACTGTAACCTGGACTCAAGAACTAAGTAAACCATTCTCTCAAGTAGCTTGTCTTTATTATTATTATTATTATTATTATTATTATTATTATTATTATTATTATTGAGAGGGTTTCTTTGAACATCCCTGATTGATTTGGAACTTGCTATGTATACCAGGCTGGGCTCAAATTCAGTTTCAGAGGAATATTGTCAGTCATGGCAAAGAAGACACAGCAGCAGACAGAGATGACACGGGGAAAAGAGCAGGAAGCTGGCTGGTCATAGCACCCATACTCAGGAAAAGGAGAATGGAGGAAGTGGGCAACACAATAAAGTCTCAGCCCAGCTCCCCATTCCACTTTGTCCAGTGAGTCTTCACCTCTTGAAGGTTCAACAACATCCCAAAGAGTACCACCAGGTGGAGATCAAGTGTCCTACCATGTGAAGTATGGGGGACATTTCACATTCAAATCACAATACTCTTTCCCACTAAGGTAGTGTTCAAATCAAAAAGGCACTCTGATGCTTACCTCAATTACTGTTTTTTTGGAAGTGACTTCCTTTAGTATTTCAAAGGGGGACATCAGAGTGGACTAGATTGTTATTAGATCCATAGGAAAAAGCCACCATGAGACAGCACTGAGTGTACAAATAATTGAACTATTTCATAACCTGGGGAAAACTTCAAGGCTTGAAGAAAGTGGCTGATATCACTTCGTACTGGATGGAGAGATGGCTCAGTGGGTAAGGATGCTTGCATAAGCATGGGGACCTGAGTTCTGATTCTAGCATGTGCCCTTAGAGGGGAAGTTATGTGGAGGAGCTGAGACAACACTACTGACTCCCATCCTCACTTCAGGTACAGCAAGACTCATCTACTTGTCTGGCCTCTCCAATACAAGTGCGTATAACACACACACACTGCCTATCTGTCTCGCTATCTGTGTATCCATCCATCCATCTAGCCTATCTAGATATCATGAACTTGAATTCCCAGCAGCTGTGGTAACCTGCAAAATGTGCGTACACACTATTAGGCTCATCAACATCTTTTTATGGAGGGGAGAGAGACTTCTGCGAAATTATAGGCCATTAACTAGTAACTATAGAGGAAGGACCCATGAGACTTATCCACTCCTCGAGGATCTGTATGTAATTTAATGGTTGCTAGGGGAGGAAGAGACATTTCTTTTGATGGGAGAGAAACTGTTGCACTAGTTGAGAAAAAGAAAACAGATCCAAGGGAGTAGGAGAGACATAAGAATGTAATGAGGATTTCTATGAATTTGGGGCTAGCCTGGTGTGCATAGCTAGTTCCAGGCCAACATAGGGTACTTGGTAAGAATGTGTTGAGAAATGGGGTGTAATAGGGTTCATTTGATTGAAAGTATAATAAAACATAAAAATGCACTTGTAAATCTTCAAGTGATGCTAAACGGATGCACCCCAGACAGCTGGGTTTCAAAGTAACAAGAAAGCTCAGTTCCAGACTCTCGTGTCCACACTCAGAATTACATACTACATGTATGTGCGGGGGTTTGAATGAGAAGCCTCCTCCACGGTCTTAAGCATTCAGGCACCAGGTTGGTGGAGTTGTTTGGGAAGATTTAGGTGCATGGCTTCTCTAGAGGAAATGCATTACAGGGAATTAAAAGCCACCCATCATTTCAGTTTCACCCTCTCTGCTTCATGCTTGCACTTAAAGACGAGACCTTGCTTCCTACTCTTGTTCTGTGCCTGCCACCAGCTGCCATGCTTCCCAGCTACTATGAACTCTTATTCCTCTGGAACCATAAGGTTTTTCTGTATGTTGCATGTTGCCTTGATCACGGTGTTTTATCACAGCAAGGGAAAAATGACTAATACAACATGCAGGGCAACAACTAAATTAGCGAAATGCATTGCACCTATGCTTTTTATCTTTAGTGTTTCACGACAGTCTTGCAGGCTAGACTGACCAAAGCACCCCACACTGTTCATAAACACACACAAACAAGTGCTGGTACAGAATTAGTGTTGGATATGGCAACAGAAATGCTCAAGGATATCACCCTGACGTATTTACACATTGAATATGCACAGAGAAGAAAGAAACCCCAATTTATTTCTGAGACAGAGTATCCTTTCTGTAGGCCAGGCTGTCCTTGAACTTAAGAGACCTGCCTGCCTCTGCCTCCCAAGTGCTGGGATTAAAGACATTTGTCGCCACTGCCTGCCCTATGATTAGACTTTTTTGAGATAGGGTCTCATTATGTAACCCAGGCTAGCCACAAACTTGTGTTGTTCTTTCTTTTCAAGAGTTGGGAATACAAGCTATACCACTACAGCCTTCTTGGCTGTGATTTCAACTTCCCAGATGACTGGGGACTTTAGACATTTGTACATGGCTGTTAAGAATATTTGGCTGAATTTCCTGACATCTTTATTCCCAGCACTCAGGAGGCAGCAGCAAATAAATCTCTATGAATTCCAGGCAGCCTGGTCTTCATAGTGAATTCCAGTCAAGCAAATGAGACACTCTCTTAAAACAACAACAAACCCATGTGAATACCCTAGTTTTGGTATTAGGTGTCCTCTAGGCATCCTGCAAAGTATTTATTCCATTCACATTTTTTTCTTAAAAATTTTCTCTGCCACTATACTACATACATCCCCAGTTCCTCTTTTTTTATTTTAAAATACGCACTTTCTAAGTTATCCAAGCTGGTCTGGAATTCATTTCGTAGCCTAGACAGACCTTGCCCTTGCCGTCCTTCTGCTTTAGTCTCTTGAGTAGGTGGAATTTCAGGTCTGAACCAATGGACTAGTCTGGCTTTGAACTCACAGAAATTCACTTGTCTCTGCCTTCTGAATATTAAGATTAAAGACATGGGCCACCAATTCAGGTGAAACCAGGCAATTTTTATGGTAATCAGTAAGCAAAAATTAAGTGAATATGGTTCCCGTTATTTTGCTCAATTTTTTTTAATTCAGTGAAAGTTATAAGAACAAATCACTGTAGAAGAGGTTCATAACGTATTATAATGCACCAGAAAACTTGGCTAGAATTTGGAATTTTTTTCTTTCTTTCTTCCTTTTTTTTTTTTGTTTGTTTGTTTGTTTTTTCGAGACGGGGTTTCTCTGTGTAGCTTTGGAGCCTGTCTTGGAACTTACTCTTTAGTCTATTGGCCTCGAACTCACAGAGATCCGCCTGCCTCTGCCTCGCTCGTGTTGTGATCAAAGGCGTGCGCCACCAGCACACACAGATTATGGGATTTCTTAATTGATTTCCAAATTAACTAATCAGAAAGCATTGACTACATCACTCTTCTTTTTCTTTTACAAAGTCTTACAGCTAGCTCAGGCTGGCCTAGAACGTGGGATTCAGTCCAAATTGGTCTTACTCATGACCATCTAGCATGTGCTAACATGCTTAACTCTACATACTTTTCAGGAGAGGATATTGCAGCAAAGGCAAGAGAAGGGAATTCTGCAAGAGTTGGGGCAGGCCCTGGGTTCCGTCACACAGAGAGCAGAGGAACCTGAGTCCCGTAGCTCCCAAAGCAGGGGCGGTGCAGACCAGCGACTCCTTCACTCGCCAACGTTTACCATGGCTGCTTCTTGAGTCTCTTTGAAGTTTCAAAACCGCCAGAGGCTTGACCATATTCCCGCCCCTCTAGGCTAGCCCGACAGTGCCAGAAAGAAAGATGGCGGGTGAGGAACATCCGGTCGGCCTTCCGGCATTCCTGATTGGACAGCTGGCCTCAAGGATACTCACCGTGTCTGAGCCCCGGGCTCCGTGAGGCCCTTAGGGATGCTTCCGGTGTGAACGGCCACCCGTAACTCCCTCACTTTCACCGGCACAGCCGGCTAAGAAGAAAGATGTCTGGTGAGGAACTTCTGCTCCATCAATCGGGGCTTCTGATTAGATAGCTCGCGCTGCGCTCCGCGGTACTGATTGGATAGCGGTCAGAGCCCACCCTCTACGCTGTGCCTGGTGTAAGCTCTGATTTTAAGAAGCAGGTCTCAGCGACGGTTCTCATGCCCCAGGCAGAAATCGGTCTATCCTGATAGCTAACTGCATCGAAGCAGAATTTTCACTTGGTTTTCCCAAAGAAGGGTTTTCCTGCTGCTTCCTCCTGGAAATGAGGTCCCGAGTCGACTTTTTAAAGGTCAGATTTAGTGTATACCACGGACGTAACCTTAGAGAAAGGGTTCCGAGATCAGCCACATAGAAAAAGGGCTGCCAGGCAAGGGAAAAGAAGAGAGGGTATCTGACGCGCTCAAGAAATTTGAGATAATGTATCTTGCACCATAGCAGAAGCTTTTCCCTACCTTATCACTGAGTCTACACATTTTCGGTCAAGAAAAGAAAAACATGCCAAGAGGATATAGTTGAGGTACATGAAAAGTGTAATTACATAGTAGCATCATAACGTCCTTCAGGAGCGGAAGAACCAGTTCGTTTGCTCTGCCAATTAAATCTGTTCTATTAGAATTTTAAAAACAAACAAACAAAAAAAAAATCCAGGGAAGCAAAGCTTTAAGTCACAGCAGCTACTGGAGTAGAAGAATGGGAAAAAGAAGAAAAATAAAGTCGTGCCATTTGAATTTTGCCTACTTGGAGGCCAGCCACACTGAGGCAGACAGTTATGTGGCAGGGAGGGAAACTATGGGGAAAGCAAGCAACCCAAAGTAAGAGACTAGGACTTAAGACAGATTTCTGACAGGCAGACAGGAAGAGGGACCACAAATAAAAAAGACGGCAAACTTCCAGCTTTTTCCTTATATTTCTACATACAGACACACGTCTAAAAGGCCTAGCAGGCTTTTATTCCTAGGGCTACTGCCTGTAGACAGGTCCTACCAACTCACAAACACGGATCAGACATGTTTACTCCAAAGTGTGGGCCTATTTGATTCCCTGTCTTTGTTCAAACTGAACAACTCTAAGTTAGGAACGACCCTTCCAAGCTTTCTGATTCTTACCCCTTTGCTTTGCAGAGGGTCTTTCTGTGTGCACCACCCCCAAATACCCTAACAGGTTGATTCTGTCTGCAGTTTTTGGAGATTTCCCATTGCTAATTATTGCACTTGAGAATTTTCTTGACTTTTAATTCTTTTTAAAAAAAATTTAAAAAGATTTATTCATTATGCAGCCAGTTTTCTTCACTGCTGAGCCATCTCTCCAGCCCCTGACTTTTAATTCTTCAACTGGCAGAGAAAACAAACCCAGTCAAGACACCTAGAGGATAGCAAAGGTACTGGGAAAAGCATACTTAGAGCCTGACCAGTTGAAGAAAAAGAAAGAAAAAAAATATATATACCTTTCTCAGAAAGGTGACCTGACCCAACTGAACCTCAGGGAGGATGGCAGGCACTGCACTAGGGAGCAGGAATTCTGGAGAGGAAAAGCACAGCATCTTGCTAGAGAGATACTTATTCTACAGATCTCTTTAGCATGGCTTAAGATGTTCCTGCCTTCCTAGGAATGTTCCTACCTTTATGAGATATGGTCCATTGGTCAGGTTATTGACAGGCCCAAGTGGATTAACTCTTCTATATTTTGGATAGCTTGGAATATTAGGTCTCCACTAAGACCAGATATCTTATCCTCTTGAGTAGAGAGAACTAGTTTTCTCTTAATGGCCTTTTTATTGGTGCTGTTTGGCTCTGAAGAGGTAGTCCTAATACTATGTAGGAGATGGGCTGAAGTAGGGGGATGGTTATAATGAGCATTTAGATAGCTATATCGTTCTAAAGCTGTTCCCTAGGAGAGATTATTAGTGACTGGACTGAAGTTTTAGTTTCGACCTTTAGGTAGAGAGAGAGGAAGTGAGAAGGAAAGAGTTCTAGGCCCAAATGTCACATTTACAAGCTACAGCATATGACAACCACCACTACACGTATGATTTTATTCACCAGTTCTGTGTACATAATAGACAATTTCTTATATATAAAATTGATTCTTTCAAGATATCTAGAAGTGCTCGATACATTTAAAAGTAGCAATGGCATAATAGTTTGTGTAAAAAGCTTCTAAAATTTTGGAGATACTTAGTTTGGAAACAAGTGTTAAACCCCCTTTGAGACAGTGCATTCCCTGTATTTGGTGAGTTTGGGGAGGCAGGTGGTATTTTGCTAGTATGTGCTTCAAACTTTCTGCACCTCCACTGTGCTGCATGCTATGGATAGATCACTCGGTTGTACTCCATGCTGAACAAATGTATCCATGATAAACAAATCCAAATTTTATAATATCTGGTCTTTAAATATTAAAGGGATTGACATATGCATGGCAAAAGTAGTTAGTAAGCTAACACTAAGTCTACATTTGGTTAAAATTCATACAAAAAAGCTATGTTTCAAACAACTCAGTATGGTAGGCATAGTGACACGTACCTGAAATCTCAGCAGGCAGAGGCAGAGAGAAGGTCACAACCTCAAGCCCTGTGCAGGCGATGTATAAAGACTGTCTCAAAAACCAAAGAGGGAGAGAAGAAAAGCTACACTGCTTTCATTATGTTTTAATCATTACTTAATCTTTTTCTTTTCTCCCTTACAATAGGTCTCATTAAATAGCTCTGGCTGACCTAGAACTCTGCCTCTGCCTCCCCGGTGCTGGGATTTAAAGTACTCACCACCTTCCCCAGCATCATTGTAACCCTTTTAAATGTGTGTCTGGATGAAGTGCATACTTTCCAACTTCCTACTTTTTGCCTGGCAAATGATCAATGTGTCACTACAAACAAAACACTTATTAAGCACACTTGAGTCTCTTTCCTTCCTCTAGACCCACCCGTCTTTATCACAATCCTAAGAACAGGCTGACCTTAGCGGTAACGGACATCTGGTATAGCATCTAATTTCATCACCCTCTCATCATTCCCTCTTTTCTACCAATTTCTTTCTTACCATGGTTTGATCCTCCCTACAAAGAAAACTCCTTTCTGCTTAACCCTTAAGATATTTGTCAGTTGAAAGACCCTCCACCCCATTGTGATGTACCTGTCATATAATGTCATGGTCTTCAGCATTTTTAAAGATTTGTTTTATTTTATTTTCTAGCGTTTTATTTTTTTATTTTTATTTTTATTAAGAATTTCCACCTCCTCCCATTTCCCTCCCCCTCATCCCCCTCCCCCTCCCTCTCCAGTCCAAAGAGCAGTCACGGTTCCTTGCCCTATTGGAAGTCCAAAGTCTTCCCCCCTCCATCCAGGTATAGGAGGGTGAGCATCCAAACAGACTAGGCTCCCACAAAGCCAGTATATGCAGTAGGATCAAAACCCAGTGCCATTGTCCTTGGCTTCTCAGTCAGCCCTCACTGTCAGCCACATTCACAGTCCGGTTTGATCACATGCTCCATCAGTCCCAGTCCAGTTGGCCTTGGTGAGCTCCCATTAGATCAGCCCCACCGTCACAGTGGGTGGGTACACCCCTCGCAGTCCTGACTTCCTTGCTCATGTTCTCCCTCCTGCTCCTCATTTGGACCTTGGAAGCTCAATCCAGTCCTCCAATGTGGGTCTCTGTCTCTATCTCCATCCATCGCCAGATGAAGGTTCTATGGTGATATGCAAGATATTCATCAGTGTGGCAATAGGATAGGGCCATTTCAGGCACCCTCTCCTCAGCTGCCCAAGGAACAAGCTGGGGACATCTCCTTGGACACCTGGTAACCCCTCTAGAGTCAAGTCTCTTGCCAACCCTAAAATGGCTCCCTTAGTTAAGATATATACTTCCCTGCTCCCATATCCACTCTTCCTCCATCCCAACTGTCCCATTCCCCCAAGCTCTTCCCATCCTCCCCTTCTCCCTTCTCTCTCCCCATCTCCCCTTACCTCCACCCCACCCCCACCCCCACGCTCCCAATTTTTGCCTGGCAATCTTGTCTACTTCCAGTATCCAGAAGGATAACTGTATGTTTTTCTTTGGGTTCACCTTCTTATTTACCTTCTCTAGGATCACGAATTATAGGCTCAATGTCCTTTATTTATGGCTAGAATCCACTTACGAGTGAGTACATACCATATTCATCTTTTTGGGTCTGGGTTATCTCACTCAGGATAGTGAGTTTAGGATAGATAGATAGTTTTCTTGTTGAAATAGGAGTGGCAGGCTATGTTCCGGCACCCGTCTGCCTGCACGGCTAGCTTTACCCGAAATAATTACACGGAAACTGTATTCTTTTAAACATCGCTTGGCCCATTATATCTAGCTTTTTCTCGTCTAACTCTCGCACCTGGACTAGCCCATTTCTTATAATCTGTGTAGCCCACGAGCTGGCTTAAAAGGAATGATCTTAACCTGCGTCTGCCTGGAGTGGGAGAATCATGGCGACTCCTTGACTCAGCTTCTTTCTCCCAGCATTCTGTTCTGTTTACTCCGCCTATCTAAATTCTACCCTATCAGAGACCAAGCAGTTTCTTTATTACTTAACCAATGAAACAACAGATAGAAAGATGACCCTCCTCCATCATTTCCCCTTTTTCTGTTTAAACAAAAAAGAAAGGCTTTAACTTTAACATAGTAAAATTACATATAGCAAAACAGTTATTAAGCAAGAATAACAGTTACAATATTTATATCTATTTTATCTTTTATCATAACAATGGAAAACTATAACTACCTATCCATTCTTCAACTCCATCAAAGACTCCAGAAGGATATAATATTACCTACGTAAACAAGAAATCCAAAGCTCTAGAAATGACAGACATCTCGCTGCCTGTACAGTCACCCAAAGTTCCTCTGTACCGTTGGGGCATCCATCTTCAGCCTTCAGGCCCATAGTATCCAGCAGACATTTCCATGAAGCAGGAAATTTCAAAGACAGTTCAGTCACTATCTGCTGTGTCCTGCAGAATGTCTCG